CCCGCCCTGCTCGGCTTGCGCAGCGCCGGGGCCGCCCCCGCCGTGCTCTGCTGCTCCGCAGGTGAGCGGGGACCACCCACGCACCCCTCCCTCCCCCCCGTGGCACGGGAAGGCCGCCGTGATGGCTCCCCACGTGTGTGGCCTCGCGGGGTGGAAGGTCCCCGACTGTGGGGAAACTGAGGCACGGTGCCGGCCATCGCCTGCCCTTCCCCGTCCCTCGCCTCCCCTCTCGTGACGGGACAGAGGGGAACGTGATCAGATTGAAAGTTGCAACACTGAGGCGCTTAAAAATTGCATGGCGGTGTAGTGGGCTGTCAAAGGTGCTCTTCAGCACGGCCTTTTGGCATCTCCTTGTAATTCTGTCGTCTTGCAGAAGACTTGTTTGGATGTCGCTATACATTCATTGTAACACATCTAAAAATAGCACTTGCACTGCAATCCGATCATGGAACAATAGCCCAGAAGGGAATGCGAGGCCGTGCTGTCCATCAGTTGACCTGGAGGCAGCATCGATGTGTCTTCATTTGCTGCAGACAAATGTTTATTCTCCAGAATGTCTGGGGAGGTGCCTCAGCCTGTGGGGTCTGTGTCAGTGCTGCTTTAGCTTTTCCTCAAATCACTTTTTCCTGAGTCACTGGTGTAATTTAAGCTTGTTTGGGTCTTTTTTTTGTGCTTGATGGAAAAATGGAAATCAGAGTATCCCTTTGTAACATCCTCTTACATATTTTAGGACTGTTATCTGCCTCTTCTTCCTTATCTTCTCTGGACTAAACAACCTGATTACTTGCAATCTTCCCTCATGGATCATGTTTTCTAAATCTCTAATCATTCTCATCACTCTCCTTTGGACCCTTCCATTGGTTCATGTAATTTTTGGGAGGGCAGCGATGACAGACTGTGAGCAGCACTGCTGCTGAGGCCTTGCTGGGGCTGAATAGAGTGGAAAGATTCTTACAGGCTGCACTGTTTGCCCAGAACAAGAACTTTTCATGGCACGTGACACTTTTGTGTTCTTCTCGTGATCTGCTAAAGCTGCAGGTTATTCTGCAGAACTGACACCTGAGCAGTTTTTCCTTTGTTCAGGTTTCTGTGCATGTAAAACAACCTCATTTGAGTTGATCTTTCAGACCATGTTGCAGTACCAGAATTCTTACACTGAGAGCTGCTTAGCTTCGGGAAGGAGCCCCCTGTGCCTTTGGCAGCTCCAGTGAGTTCACTGCCAACGTTTCTGTCATTTCCAAAACTTTCTCTCCTGCCAGACTGTCCAGGTGAGAAGACAGGGATTAAACTATTGAAGTCCAGTGGTTTGGTGGCTTCACTGATGGCTCTGCACCTCCTATTCAAGATTTAGTGCAGAGCTTTCATTGTCTCTGCTGAGGGACAGAGGTCTGTGCGTCCCATTTGGCTTCTCCACAGCTGTGGGGAGAATGCTGAAGTGCAACTCTGCCATTTCAGTTTTGGGGACTAATACACTGCTACTGGTAGAGAACTTTCAAAAAAAGTGTTGTATTTCTGTTTATTTTGTTGAATTTTCTTTTCTCTTTACTCCTGATCCATTGGCATGACACGTTGAGTGTGTTTGATGTTTCCTTCTAGGTACTTTCTCACTTGTAGGGAAATGTAGGGGAGAGCACCTTTATGAGCTGAGAGATTTTTACTTTAAAAGCCTCTGATTAGTCTTGTGGGTGATTCATATGGTTCATCCTCTCATTGCTTGAGTGATTGATGATGACAAGTGAGTTGATCAAAGACACGGCAAATTGTTAACACTGAGACAAAATCATTACTTAAAAACCAGCGTACTTGCAGTTTTCAGTTATCAATCAATTTGACTTAGAAATGAGTTAGAATTACAGCACTGGGAAAAGGAAATCAGTCTTTGACACACTGAATAATCTTAGATTGAATTAATAACTCAGTCTAAATGTGCTTTGCTCTCTGTAGTAGCTGGCTCTATATTATTAGTGCTCCGTGGATGAGGTCCAGCAGCATCAGCTATTCAGCTGGTCTTGCTCTCAACAGCTGCCCATTTTTTCTTGTGAGCATTGACATATTTCTGATGTCCTGACACATTTCTGCAGCTGTGGAGCTGTTTCTTTGAGCTCAGCAGAAGTCAGATTTTTTGAGAGCAGTGGGACTTTGGATGAAGGATCATCTGCAGTCTGCTGTGACACTGCACTGCAGAAAAAGCTGTTACCTTCCAGCACTGTGTTGGTAATGGCCTGGTAAAAATCAGTCTGAAATGAACCCTCTTGTACTCACTCAGTCATTCCAGACAAGCTGCACACTTCAGTTCATTCTGCTGGAGCTGGAACTTGCAATCCAAGTTTCATCCCACAGTCACTGTCAGTCTCCCAAAGTCATTCAGTCACAGGCTGTGGGAAGAGGCTTTTTTTTTTCTAGTTACTCTTTCCTTCTTTGAAAATTTTACAAAGCTCACTAGTGATGGCTCAGATTGTGACACTGTTCTAGAGAAAAGCTAGATTTAGATGACTCACACCCACAACAATAAAACATTCTAGTGTAATTCAAGACAGCTGACTACAGACTTGAATCACACATTAATACTCAACTGTATTTCTTTCATTTTATTGCTTCAAAGTTAAAACTGAGTTTCAAGTACTGCCCTGCATAGAGCAATGTTCTGAAAGGGGCATCACAGCTCTGGCAGGGACTTTGCATGGTTGATGGCAGGAAAAAATACGGTAATGTCAGGGCAAGGTGAGAAGAAAATAATTCAGTGAAGAAGGAGGCAATGTTTTAAGATAATCAATCCCATTTCCCTGTAAGTTGTTGATCTCTTTTACAACTTTTCCCAACTGTCTTTATCTTGATTAGGTTTACTATCTTCTTTTGCCTCTGTAAGTTTTTGCAATCTTATCATGTCATTTCTGCCATAATTTTCTCTGTGAATGGAACAAGGAAGAAGATACTGAACTGTTTGGACCCCTTGATGTCAACCTAAACTGAGTTAGATGGTGTTGCTGTGTTTGCTCTTTTCAGGAAATTATTACAATCAAGGAGAGATTCGTAAGAAAGAGCTGGAACAGAGTTGTTGTGTCCTGGGGATTCCTGCTTCTGATGTCACAGTTATTGATCACAGGTAACTGGTTTTCCTTTCCAGTAGAATTCCACTGCAGTTTTAAAAGGGGTTGAAGTCCACTTCAACATTCAGGAGAGCCAATTGTGTCACTCTAAAAATCCTTGAGGAGTCTCAAGAAAGGCAATATTAGATATTTTTTTTTTAATTCTTCTCATAAATCTAATTATTGCAAAAGACAATTCTTTACATTATGGGGATCACAATTCCTAGGTGAAGCTCTGTTCATACAGCATTTAGAATAATGATAACCACACTTGCTGGGGTCTGGCATGGTGTGTCTGGGCAGGATGATCACATTGTGTTGTATAACATCTTGTTGCAGTGTTAGACAGACAAAAATTCTCTGAATTGCATGGGGCAGGTTTGTCTGTAGGTGGTTTTTGCAGAGTTAGTGTGGAACTGTATTATATTTACAGTCTGCTTTAGTCCTGGATAAAGAGAAAAGTGAACTGCAGTACTGAAGGCAGTCTACAATAACATGGCATTAAGATTCTTCAAAATTAAGCCATGCAAGATTTGTTTTTCTAAGGTGTGGTTGGTAGTTTTCTTTAGCTGTGTGTAGCTGCAGAGGTGGGTGACAAAGCTGACACTTCTCTGTGCAGGAACTCTCTTTTGGGAGGGTGATTTTAACACTTTGAATCAGTGAAACTTGGAGTTAATGTTGTTAAAGCCTCTCAAATTGCCCAATCACTGTCTGTGTATAAGATCTGAATGAGACACTGATTGCTAGGAAACACGATACAAGTGGTTGTTTCACTTGTAAACAGCTATCACACAGCCCATAAAGAATATTTCTGTTTATGAAGAAATAATAGCAACATATTGATTTAAAACCACTCCAGCTAGAAGAGTCAGAGTTGGAAAAAAATCTGGCTCCAGGCAGGCCCTTTTCCCATGACCATATTTTCCCTTGAGCTAAGGCAACAGAAACCACAGTCCAGAATATGAATCTTTTTCAGTTCTTTGCTTTTTTTAGCTTTAGGTTTCTCTCCAAGTTTTCAGCTTGCTGAGGAAAATAGCATAGAAGTTGTTTTTCCTTTGGAATGAAAAGAGATGTTTCCATTCACTTCTCATGAACTGGCTTTGAGTAACTGCAAGTTTTGTAGTACAAGCATATGAACAATGCCCAAAACATTCTGGGGAGGAATAAGGAAAAAGCTGCTTAGCTTTGCTAGGCATAAAGTCTGCTCAATGAACCATCTTTTGATGTTAACGAGCCCTGAAGCCACTTGGCCTTTTATTCTCCAAAGCAACGTGAGGTTGGTTGGTGAGTGATGCAAGTTCTGACGCTGCTCAGTCACCCCACACATACTACCCAGGAAGCTGCTTGATGTAAGTCAATCTTTGGAAGGTGAGGGCCATTTCAGAGAAATCTCGTGGCTGATGCATCCTTCTTACTTTATTATTATTGCACACATTTCTGTCCTGATCCGTGATTCCTCCCCGTGAAGGCAGTGCCTGAAACGACAGAACCATCCCATTGTCCAGAGCTGGGCTGGAATGTATGTCATTGTTCCAAGAAACAGGTTTAGATTTGAGGTCTTTATCTCTGAGTGAGATTGCTATGAGATAACTGTCAAATCCTTCAACTTTGCTGAGCATTCAGGGGGTAAATGAAGTGAAGTTCTTGGTGACTTTTGCTCCCAGCTTGTTTACATAGCAAAGTTAAGTGTGTTTACAGTGTATTATTTACTGTACCATAACTCACCATGTGCATGCTCTTTATGAAAAACAGATGTGGATCAGGTGTTAGCAAACTGGGAGAGGATCAGGATTTCTAGACCACACTGAATTTTTAGTGTAGCTGAGTTTTAGATACTGTTTTCCAGTGGTTTAGACAAAACACCGGGACTCAGGGTTTTTGAAACTTACTCAAAGTTCTTGGATTCCCTAAGGTCAATAGTTTTCCTGTGTCTCTTAAGACTTATGTAATTTACAGTTTATACAAAAATATTTTCTGATATGGCATTATGTAGAACTTGTTAAAGTAATTCACTATTTAACACTAGATTTCAATGTAAATTCGTGCCTACAGAATACAGCTCAGGAGGCTGTTCCTCCTTAGCATTTTAAGATCAGAGCCCTTTGGCTCTTTTGTTCCTTGTTGAACTCTTCAGAAGATAGTTTGCTATCAATGTAAAGAAGAAGCACATTGCTCTGGGAGAGCTGCTGGCCTGCTGCCCATCTCCCATTGCTTACACAAACACTGCATGCTTTACATTAGCTTTGTGTTTTGGTAAGGAAAGCCCAAAGGATTGCAAGGTCTGGATCTGCTCCAGCCATTGTAGTGTGGAGCTGAGTCATGCTGCTTCCTCTTTCTTTGTGTGATCTACAAGTGAGTGAGTAGAATTTGCAAGATGTAAAAGGGGAAATAGATTTGCAAAGCCAGGTGATTGACTTGCTCTATCATCTCACTGGGCAGGCAGGTAAATAAAATCAACATGACATTTGGGACTGTGTGTGAATGTGTGAAGAGAAAGCTTCATTCAGCCTGTGGTGAAATCTGTGTGCTAAAGGCCAAATCCTTAAGCAGTGCCTTGCCTTAAACAAAGCCTCTCTCAAGTATATCCAGGATTCCCAGCAGGACCAGTTCAGTCTTGTGAAAAATGAGGTTCACATAGTTTTTATATAAAATTTAAGAAGTTTAATAGAAAGACAATTAGGAGATAGAAATAAAGTAAAATGTACAAAATACAGCCAGGTGCCTCAGCATTCAGCTGAGGGCACACCTTACTAACAAAGGATTGTCCCTTAAAAACAGAAATCTACTACATATTCATAAATACTCATACATAATTCAAACGTTCCTCTTAAGTTTTAGATGTTTCTTTGTTTAGTTTTTAACTTGCCCCCCTTCCCAACAGATCAATCTTCTTGGTGCTGCTGGGTTTCACACTCCCTGATAACAGAGGTGCAATAAATTCCTCCTTTGGAGGACTTAGAGAACTGCTGTCTTCATCTGGATAAGATAATCTAAAAATGCAGGGGGATTTTCTGGCTATCTTTTTCAGTCTCTGGGTTATATAAGCAAAAATAGTTTTTGCTTTAATAACATTCTACAGCCTAATATATTTTATACCACTATTTCTAAGTTTTATCAATAACAGAAATAGAAGGAACTATATTAATACAACAAAGTTTTCTAACCTTATACATATAACATTCATTTTAATATTTGCAAAGAAAATATAACATAACATAACATAACATAACATAACATAACATAACATAACATAACATAATATGTATCTATAACAGTCTCTATCACACAACTTCTGTGCCTGGGTCCTTCAGGAACTGTGTTTGATATTATCATTGTGTTTGTTATCTCACTTAAAGATAACTCAAACGTGCACAAATATGGCCCCAAACTGTACCCACATTTCAGCCCCAGAGATCTGAGATCACTACAGATTTTCTGCAGAAAAGTTCTTTGCTGTATGGGACATGTTCAGGAGTGGGAAGGGCAGGAATGTCTGGGCATGCACACATGTTCCAGACTAATTTAGATTTGAGCTCTCGACTCTTCCAACTTTTGCCTAGCACAGGTCACAGGCACCAGATTTGTGGAGGTGTCCCCTGAGCTGCCATGTCATTACCACAGCTCCCACACTGCACCAACCAGCTGCATTTAGGGGAGAAAATTCCACAATCCACTTTTGTTACTATTCCCACACAAGGCTTAACACCTGGAGCAGCCCACCTCAGAACTTGGGCTTGTGATGTTCAAAGTTAACTTCTGGACTGTCACAATTATTGCTGCTGCTGGGTAAGGGAGGAGTAGCAAGAGAGTGAGTTCTGAAAGATAAAAGTCACTTCATTAATTATATAAATGTTAATGTAAATTCTGTGCATTGGGTATGTTTTTATCATCTTATGTGCTTCAACAGTAGAATTTCCTGTGAATTAAGCTCCCATTTACGGTGGGCACATCTGCCAATGCAGGCTGTCTATTAGTCTGAAACACTGCACATAAACAGGAGATTTCTGAGCTACCTTAACTTTCTGAAGAGAAGCAGATAAAAGGAAGCCCAAATTATTCTTGTTTTTTAATGTGTGTTTTGGGTTCATGGAAAGATAAATATCAGATGTTTTACTGCAGATTCTGAAGCTTTTCTACACAGTTGTTCTGGACAGAAAGTAAAACTCACTATTTGCATCTTTAATATGACAGAAAATATTTGGCCCAAGTTTGCACTGCAGAGAAAATAATAGCTGAGATCTGTGTAAACTGGAGAATTTTCCATTCACAATCGGATGCTTACGGCAAACAATGTTACATCTCTTTCCAAGTCTCCATGGAAATTGCACTCCCTTTGCTTTTTTATTTTTTATTATTGTTTCACTGAAGTCCAAAAGACACTGCACAGGAGAGAGGACGTCTGCCCATGCACTATTGCAGGCTATCTTTATGAGGCTGCAGAGAGGATCAAAATCTTTTTTACATTTTTTAGGTAATAATTCTGTGCTGTTGGACTCTTTTTTTTCCTCCTATAAGATAAATAGGCTTTATTGCACTTCTTCATACTTAACTTCAAATGAACTTCCTCCCATGACCTCTCCATGACAGAGAAATGAGTCTGCAGGGTCATGGGAAAAATATATCCTTAAGTAAATAGTGTGTGTCTGGTTGTGGTGCTCACAATGATACAGAAACACTCAGACTCTTCAGAGAACAAAATATATCACTGGAAATCTGAGCCTTTTTATTAGAATTTAGAAGCACAGTCATTAAGTCTATCCCATTGATCCAGTTTGGATTTGCTGTCCTTGAGTTTATTGATGGGAATGTGGGTGCTGAATGCAAAGAGCTGTGGGATTCTAAAAAATGTGATTATCTTATGGGTTTCTATCACAAAAGTGATATTGTTCTCTAATATTTCTTCCTTCCTGTTCTAATGTTTCATATTTTGGGATCAGTAGTTAATAGTTTTAATTCTGCAGGAGTAATTGTGGTAATGAGTTACATTTTGTCTTCCTAAGTTCCCTGTGGTATCATA